CCCCCGCAGCTGCCCCAGGAGCCCAGTGGCTCTCCACAAGGCCTGCAGCCCATGTCCTCTCACACTAGGTAGCTGCCAAGGAGGGCAGAACTAAGTGAGGTAAGGACCAGACTCATGGATCCAGTTCAGGAACTTCTGAACATGTGATACCCACTTTTCTCCACAGCCAGCCCTGACCAGTGGGCAGGTGTCTATTCTTCCTGCAAAACTTCGTACTCAGGTCCCTTCCTCCAAGAAGCCCTCTCTGACGTGACCACCACCTACCCCCAGCCATTTCTGCCCACTCTGGATAACTCCATCTCAATCCACGTCCATTTCCTGTACTCAGGACAGCTGTACACACAGGAGGCACTCAAGAAATGTCCACTGAATAGTGGCGACCTTGAGCTCTAGTCCCACATGAAATCAGAACTCAAATGAGGGAAGAGATGGTAAAATACTACACAAGCCAGTGCAGTCCAAGCTCCAGATGTTTTGCAAACTGGACTGTTAACGCCTTCCACAGGAGCCGGCTGGCCTGCAAAGCGAAGGTCAGCAAGCACGGCCCAGCGCCCTCAGGAAGACACAAGAGCCTCCTCCACCCCCCAAGCCCCTCACACCCCAAGGGGCAGCGTGCTGTAAACTCTTCAGCTTTAACACCTACAAGCCTTTTCACTACAAAGGAGGACGTTTAATAGCTTCTGAGAAGTGAATGATTTTCATCACCCGACTCTGGGCTCCCCGAACACGTCTGGATCCCAGGCAGCCCCTGCTCCGTGTGAGAGGCAGGGGGCGGGGGTGGGGGGCCTGCCGGGCCTCTTACCTCATCGAAAGGCTTGGTGATGCTGGTCTCTAACTGCCAGTCCAGCGTCCTCCACACCTTCAGGCTGCGGTCGTCGGCTTGAGAGGCAATGTATTTACCAACAGGGTCCCAAGTCAGGCCCTTCACCAGGCCAGAATGGCCTCTCAGAGTAGCTAGGATTTCTGTGAGGACAAATAAGTGAGGTTGGAAAGGCATTACCAAGGGGAAAACAGTGACTCTGTCTAGAAATGGGCCACGGGTCGGCTGGCAACAGAAGGGGCTTCAGGAGTTGCCCTGGCCAGCCCCACCCCTGGGCACAAGCAGAAGTCTGTTCTCACCCAGGAGGTGGGCACCACCCATTTCTCTCCAGCCAAGCTGACACGTATGGGTTGAGGCTGCACATGCCCTCAGAGGGGCAGGCGGCCAGGGCCAGAGCTGAAATGCGCCGCCTCACCTTGCCGGCAGCCGCAGCCCTGCCCACGATTTCCTTTCCAGACAGGAGCCCGTGCCCATCTGAGCCCTCCTGATGTGACCCTCCCTGGGGGACCGGGCCCTGCACTGAGTGAGTCCTCTGCTCGTCATCACTGAGGACAAAGGGGAGGGAGCTTGGACCCCAGAGAGCTGTAAGCTGAATGCCACCCCAGCCATGGTGGCTGGGCCGAGTCCCCAAACACGGTGGAAGCTTATGAAGAAAGTGACCGGGACCTGAGCCTATAAGAACACGCTCCTGTCACCAAGCAGGGACTAGAAGCATCTCACTGGCTGCAAACCGCAGTGCCATCCCAGGCTCTGCCATCGGTAGGGACTTCAAACACGTTAACAGAAAAACTGATCTGCAGAACTGGATCTATTAGCCTGCTCATGCTCAAGGGCATCACAGAGGAGATGGCTACTGGGCTGAGGCCAGAGGCCGGAGTGGGAGGGCGCACCCTCGAGGGCAGCTGGCTGGGCTCCCAGTGCCAGGGGTCCATTCGCACAGACTGCAGCAGGGCCACCCATGCTGGCACTTGGTTACTATTATTTTTTTTTAATGTAAACTTCTCTTTAAACCTTAAATGTGATTGATAAAGAAGACCTGAGTTACTGACAAGACAGGCTGGCTGCCACCAGCCGAGGAGACCCAGCCCACCCGTTCCAGACACCGCTGGGCAGACCCACGGAAAGGCCGCCCGGGCACAGGTGCGGACCTGGGAACTTCACTGCATTCCAGATGACCACGGTGTTGTCCACGCTGCACGAGGCCAGCCAGGCGTCATGGGGGGACCACGCTACATCCATCACATCTGGAAGACAATGGCCAATGGTGAGTCTCTTACCTGGTGGTGGATATGGACACGGCGCAGCTCCACCCTGCCAGCTGGCCAGTCAGCAGCCCCCCGGCGTTCTCACATCTGAGGAGACTTGACCTGGGACCATCATAACTAGACTTTTCCAAACCAACCTGAAGAACTTCCCCACTAAGGTTCTGCAATCAGTCCTGAGATCTGAAGCATCTAACGGCCCCACCCCACTCCCTTCTGACAAAGCACTGAGGGCCTGGCCAAGAGCGTGGCACTCGTGCCACTGCATGGCTGGGTCTGCAGCCCTCGGGCCGGCTGAGCCGACTTCTCCAACCCTAACCCGGCCTCATCAGAGCGCGGCGTGACAGCCAAGGTCTCCCTGGTTTCTCCAACCTCAGTGCCTGGTGCGGCACCGGGAGTGTGGAGGGATGGTTGGTGAGGTGAAGAAACAGAGAGAGCAGCCAGTCAGGAGCCATATAGTCCTTTGCTCACAGGATGATTTAAATCTTCAGAGTCAGCTCGACAAGACCGCCCACGCGGGCAGCACCGTGATCTCCCATGTGTGCGCCAGCGCTGAGCACGAGCCCGGGCCCCGCTATCCTGCTCCATGTTGTGTGGCTGAGGGCACTTGAGACCCGGAACAGACCTAACTCAGCAGTGGACTTGGACCAGGTTCCAGTTCCTCATGCCCACGAGCCCACGAGCCCACGTCATTCTGCACATCCCGGGGCGTTTGTTTCAGATGGATGCCGCACCGTGGGAACCTGGGCGGAGCACCTGGGCATTTTCATGAGTCTGGATTCTTCACATTTCTACTAGCAGAATGTCCTTTTCAAAAGTCCCTTTTTAGCTTGAGGATTATGATTTTTTTCCCTTCTAACTTACTGAGTACATTTTTCTGTTTGAAGTTCCACTTTAATTCGCAAAGTGAAGACTGTGCACATTGGTGTGTCTGAAGGTGTCTTCAGGGACTCCTCTGTTCCTACCCCGTCTGTTGGGAGGTGATTTGTGCTGGCGGGTCTAACGAGAATGCAGTGTCTGCTAAAGGAGACACAGGAACCTCTTCTGGGGCCCAGAGCGTGGGTGGGATTGGGGGGCAGCCATGCAAACCACAGACCCCCCTGTGCTTCCTGAGTCCTAGAGCAGAGACATGCTCACCTGGGACTCCAGAAAGGAGACCGGTTTTCTTAGCAATTTCCATGGACTATGGACAATACAGACCTTAGCTGCAAATTCCATCAGTTTACCTTCCTATGCTGTAGAAGGTTTATGTAGTAAAGTCAGTTATTCTCCTTTGTTGTATTTTTAAAAATGATTTCCCTTATTGCTTGTTAACTTTGAAAAAATATTCCCTCTGCTGGAGGTCTAATAAATATTCAATTCTGTTTTCTCTTGCTTTATTTAGAATGTTTCTTTAATACCTGGAATTTATCATGCTGTCTTTAGCTAAGGCTCTACATTACCTTCCTTTCACCCATGAACTGCTGAATGGCTGGTTACCCCGTCATGTGTGGGGAATGAATCTTGCCTTCTGTTATTGGTCATAGGTGCCGCCTTCACAGCACACCAAGCTGTCAGGAGCACTGTAGCCTCCTTCAATGTTGTTAACTTTGTTTGAATGAGTTCTCCCACGTCCTGACTCATCCTTCCAGACACCCTTTGGAATCACTGCTGAGTTCTGCAGTAAATCCACACATGTGACATGACTTCCCCCCCAAACCCCAGTTTTGGAGCTTCTGTCTTCAGACCATACAACGCCCTTTCCTTCTCGCCACAGCTCTACACACACCCTGAGACCCTCCCTGTCCTTGAAGATGTAAGTTTCTGTTCACTGTCATTCCCGTCAACTCTCCAGCATCATTCTTGGTGATTCCAAGAGGATGACTTTTCTAACACCCTTAAAGTCCTCCACCTACTTCAATGACCTTGGCTTCTGGCCTCAGCCATCGTTCCCACAGTCATGCCCAGAGACCCTCCCTGACAGAGCACTGCGACCCCTCCCTGGTCTTACTGCCCCCCTCCCCGCCGCCACGTCCCCCGCTCACTCTCCGATGGGTCTTCCAGCCGCTATAGCCCTTCCGTCTCCTCATCAGGCCTGGAGTCCATCCTCCCCTCAGCTCTTCTGCTGTCTTTCTTTGCAGGCGCCTGACAAAACCAGCTGGGTTCTGTCCAGCTCTCTCCCCCGGTCTTTCCTGAGCGCCTGCCAATTAGGCCTTTACCCGGCTTCACCAACAGGAACCACGCTTGCCAAGGCCACCGGCGGCTTCCATGCCATCCAGTCCAGTGGCCGATCCTCGGTGCTCACTCGACCGTGAGGCAACGTGGGGCCGCTGCTTGCTCTTGCCTTCTTCAAACGTTCTCTCCACCACCTTCACTGGCTCCCCGGCTCAGCCGCACCCCAGGCTCCTCCCCTGTGCTCCAGGCTCACCCCCCAACAGCCAGCCCGCAGGTCCACTCACCCTGCTGCCAGGCACTGCGGACCCAACATGTCCACTCGCCCCCACACCCCCTCCCACCTCAAGTGAGGCACCTGCATCCCTCCTGCTGCTCAGGCCACAGTCTGGGAAGCCGTCCCACCTCCTCTGGGGCCTCACCTCACTTCCCACCCCAGGGAGTCTGTGTGACCACCTGCCCTGACTTCCACCATGACGACCCACGGCCCCCGACAGGCTCTCACCTAGATCACATCACTGGTCTCCCCAGTGCGGCCGAGGCCCCCCACCATATGGGCTCCATACTGCTGCCCAGGCCTCCACACTGCTCTGCCTCACTCAGACGAGAGCCCCTCCCGGCCCCCTCCCCTTTGCACTCCCCCTGCCCTGGTCCCAAGCCCACGTCTACACTCCATCTGCTGCCCCGGTTGCTCCCTCCACCTGGATAGCTCTCTGCAGGTCCACACGGTTGTCCCCTCATTGCCATCTGCTCAACCCCTGGACGCCACCTTCTCAGTGAGACCCTCCTTGGGAATCTGAGTAAAACTGCACTTATCTATCATTAGATATTCCAATTGGCTATGACTAGTGAAAGACAGATAATTAAAAATCTTCTTATATGAGGCCAATTCAATGACTTATTTTTATTAGTCTGAAGTGCTTTTCAATGCTTTATAAGTCCTAAAAGCTTTATTCCTCATATCATCTCATTTTTCTACTGTTTTCCAGTTTGTCAACCTACTTCTTTTTCTTTTTTCTCTTTTTTTGGCCACGCCATGTGGCTTGTGGGATCCTTGTTCCCTGACCAGGGATTCAACCTGGGCCCCGGCAGTGAGAGTGCCGAGTCCTAACCACTGGACCGCCAGCGAATTCCCTGTCTACCTTCTTCTGATTCTGCTTAACTGTACTGCAGAAATTCCAAAATAACAAATGTGGTGATAGCACCCATGTTTGTCTTTTCTCGGTATCAACGGGAACAAGGCTCAACTGTGAACTATAATATGTGCCTGTGGTTTGAAAGACACAGGGCTCTATCATGGTAGGGAAACAGCTTTCTATGGCCGTTAAAAAAAACTATTTTTATTAGCAATTGATGGTGCTACCAGGACCACTGCAAAAGGAGTGGCAGGTATCCCCACTGAAGGTGGGCACCCCTACCTGCCTGGTCGAGGAGAACCCTGGGGTGGTGGGCCAGGAGGGAGGGCGAGGTTATGGCTCAGTCCAAGTCTCAGGTTAGGGGCCCCATGAAAGTCGTCACTCAGGCCCCACCCCACTTGGATAACCTCACGGATACCTTGTCCAAGTTCCAGAGAAGCCCAACTAGACTCCACTGTGAGCACCTGCCAGCAAGTTAGGGTAAGTTACACATTTTTACTGTTATCAAACATAACACAATGTTACACTATCAGCTTTCAAAGATGTGGACTCAATCTGTGGTCTCTAAGAGGTGGGTCTGTTCACCTTTAAAGTGTCGTCTGCAGAGTGGGTGTTGAGCACAGACTGCAATGGACCATAGCTGATTCCTGCCCCATCTCCGCCCCCCCCAGCCCCCGAGTGGCAGGCTCAATTCCAACCAGCTCGGGACACCCCCCACTCCTACCCCCCAAACCCAGCACATCCTGCACTGAACTGGCATCCGGCCCCATAAACCCATGGTTGTATGGTCTCAGCAGAGGATACCGCTGGCTCCCCAGGCACCCAGCTAGGGGTCTCCCTCATGCCTCCCTTTGCTCAGCCCTTTGAAGACCCCAGGTCAGTCTCTTCCTCTCTCTCAATGATCACAGGCCTAGTTTGGGCCCTTGCAGTTTTCATCTGAACCCCTGAAACTGCCTTCTTTTCCACAGGGCTGTCAGATGATCCCCCTCTCAGGCCTCCACGACAAAGGGCACCCTCATTAGCAGGAGCGCAAGCTTTCCATGACCTCCCCTCACACACTTAGCCAGCCCCACCCCGCGCCGCTTGCTGCCGTGCAGTACACGTCCAGCGGGGTGAGATGCTGCCAGCTCACCACTGGCACCAAGCCTTTCTGGCTTCTGCTGGCCCCTGCCTGGCACACCCTCCCAGCTATTCCCGGCTAGACTGCAGGTTCTCTGAGGAAGACTGAATTGCACTGACTCTGGTATCCCCAGCATCTGACCAAGTGCTGTCAACTTCAGTCCAAATCTGAAAAATGAGTTTCTTTCCATACCAAGCCTATTTAAAACACTTTGCAAACACTCTCAAAGTCAAGTAAAAAGCTTTCCAGTGGGCCCCCGTGTGTGGGTTTCTGTGGAATAAAGAAAGTGCGCTTACGGACTTAGCGATCCACTGATGGAGGTAGTGACTCAGTTCCCAGGATAAACAGCGGAACGTGGGGAGTTCTACATTAAAGATATAAACATACAGCCCATGAGGGCAGGAGTGGGGACACTGACGCAGCTGGAGGCAGGCAGCGGGGAGGGGAGGGGTGGCCCAGACACAGGGCTGCTCTAAGGACCCACAGTCCACAGGGGCCGTGGAGGTGCCGCTGCTGCTCTCGGCCACCGCCGGGGCGCCCACCCCACGGGCAGCCCACTCACCGCCTGAGTGACTCCGCAGGATGGAGACACATCGCCACTGCTCCACGTTGGCAAGCTTGCCACTGGAGCCGAACACGGTGCTGGGGCCGATGTACCTGTGTGAGAGAGGAGTCAGAAGGGCACCCCGGGACTTCCGGGCATCGCAGAGACAAAGCAGACAGACAGTGGCTGGCGAGTGCCAAACGGGTGAACAATGGGGGCTGACTGGACAAATTATGATCTGTTCACTGGATGGAACGCTACACGGCCTACACCAGTCTTGGGAAAATGTCCATGGGATAGAATTAAGTGAAGGCAACAGGTCCCAGAATGTCACATACCACACGATACCATACATCATCTATGCTGGAAAATGGACCAGAAGGACACACGTGAAAAATACAAAAATATTAACTGTGGCTTCCTTTAGATGGTGGGATTATGACTTTTTCTCTTCAATTTTCCAAACTGTATATACGTTATACGTAAATACGTTATTTATGTTGGCTAAAGCAGCAGAAGCAACACTATTTTTCAAGCCCTCCTGTAAGGACTTGAACACCTCTGCCTTAATACTGGGGCAGGGAAAGCACTGGAACTGGGGTGCTCACTCCTGGGCCTTGAGCAGTCATGGAGCCCTGCAGACATGGCACCAACACCTCGGACCCCCAGAGGCTCTGTTAACACCCTTAGCTCCTGTAGAATTCTTCCAAACCTACAGGAAGGGCTCGTGGAGGCAGCTGGCTGGGCTGAAGGAGATAGTGCGCCTCTGCTCACCAAACCACAGCCTTGGGGACACTCTGGCTGAGCAGGAGGGTGGGGTCTGGTCCCCAGCCTGGCTGGCCCCAAAGGCCCAGTACCCACCCTAGGAGACTCCAGGAGATGGTCAGTTCATTGTGGGTGCAGAGCAGGGGCGTTCGGGGAAGGTGGGACTCCTGGGAGCCCCAGGTAAAGCTGACAGAGAACGAGGTGAATGGCAAGAGGGCAGGCTCTGGATCCCCCACCCCAGATCCCATCAGAGCACCTTGTGTGTTAGGAAATTTCACTTGAAGGACAAAACAAATGAAGCCATCAATGTCAGCCCTGGAAGGGACGAGCCCTTCTTTTTCAGGTGAAACCCTGCAGCCCTGTGAGGAGTGCAGAGCAGGTCCACAGGCAGGTAGGTGGCCACCCACTGCCCTGGTCAGGCCCCGGCTGCCCCCGCCTACATGTGCTTCCTGGTTGGTACTCATCGAGCCAGAGCTCTGGAGACCTCAGTGCCAGGGTGGGGAAAGCGACTGTGATAAAGACCAGCAAAGAAGCTTCTAAAAATAAAATGTGAAGAAAAGAAAATGATGCTTACGTAGCCCGCTTCCACACCATAATCAGTTTGTCATCTCCCCCAGAAGCTAAATACATCCCACTGTTTGACCACCGCACACAGTTCACACATGCTGGGAAGAAAAAAAAATAGGGTGATGAAAATCCAGTCGCCACACTCATTTGCTTTGTGCAGTTTGGCAAGATGCAGAGGGTTTACAAAATCTAATTTATCTGATCTACTCAAGGTACCTACTGTGTGAGAGCCCCAGAAGAACAATTCAGTTCACGCACCAACCTACTTGTGCTGTAAGAACAAATACCAGAGCAGAGTCTGGAGGGGAAACGCTACGTCATCTGAGAAGCATTAGTGCTTAATCAAACAGTCAATAGGAGAAGGCTTCTTTCCATGAAAACTGGTAAGTAACTAAATCTCAGGGCTGTTGAATGATGAGATGTATTTCTGAGTAGGGATAATTCTCAAAATGAGGGCATGTACTAAAAAGGCCAAGATGCCTTTCCCAGAACTTTCAGGGGAGCAGCTTGGTAGAGCATAAAACTCTGACTTCAAGCCACCTACCAGCTCTTTCTCCAAACTTGTCAACACTTCAGGTAGACTGGTCCTGCACTTATAAACTAAGGCCAGGAGAAATCCCTGTTGGCCCTGATGGGTCAAGAGCCTCTGGAGCCCCACAGCAGAAGGGACATTATCCAAGATGTGGTCCACACGTGGCCTGTGGGCACCTTGTGTTCTGGGGTGGAGGATGCCAAGGGGCGTGTCGAGAGAGCAGGAACACATAGCACACAGGGAGGGGGCATAACTGATAGTGGAGCATCTCAGTGGGCAGCTAGGTTGGAAACCAGAGCCAGGTATGGTCACCCTGATGCTCAAGGGCAGGAAACTAAGGCACTACAGCAGGAAAGGAAACTACAACACTGTCCAGTGGCCACAAGGGCCTGGCAAAGGGCCCCAAGTGACACGGCGGCCATCTGAGACATTTGGTGAGCTGTCTTTTGCGCACCCTTCCCGGGAACCCTACTGCTTCCAGGTCGCTGGCCCCAAAGCCCCATGGAATCAGGCAGTAACGACTCATGAGCAGGAAATCACCAGAGGTACCTGCAGACTGTCCAAAGATGGTTCTGTGGGCAGGCCGAGTCTTCTGTTGAATAACTCACCCAGGTGTGCAGCCAACATCTGTGCCTTCAGACAGCAGGCCGAGGGGAGCTACCGCCGCACGGGCCTTATCTCTCTAATTACAAACACACGTGCTAACCTTGGGCACTGTGCCAACACGCAAAGCCTGCAAAGGGCCACCCTGTAATACCTAAGTGATTGTCCATCTGGCAAAGCATCTTGGGGACATTTTCATCCTTCTCGTCATCCTCCTGGAGGACTGGAGACATATTCCAGATTACAACCTTCCCAGAATCCTGTCCTGGAACGAAGGAGCAAAAACAACTCAATGTGTCAGGAGTGTCAATAGGAGCCTGTGACCCACCCTCACCTAGCTGTCAGAAGTCAGGGCTGATAGATCAGCGGGATCTGAGTTACTATTATGTGTCACAGGGAAGGTGAACAAAAACAAGTGCCGCTGGGGACTGGAGGCAGTGGGCTCAGTAGGAGGCTGAGACCAGCCTGGGTCTGCACTCAACTCTGGCCTGGTCTCTAACACAGGTCCACCAGGGGCCCCTAGGAGGTCCTCGTGCCCACCCAGAACCCAGACCCCTCATATGGAACCCAAAGAGGCTGTGCACAGGCACCCCCGCAACCTCCCCTCCCCTCTAGGTGCTAATTGGCGTCCATTGCTGTTCCCACAGCTGACTGGACACTTTGAGAACCAAGCCTGAAATGTGCCCTCAACACAGGAAAAGGATCGTTACCATCTTACCTGCCCTTTGCCATCACCTACAGATGGCAGGTCAACTAAAAGAGGGCATTTGAAGTTCCTGTGGTCATAAGCAGAAGTAGTACTCTGCTAAAAATATCCATCTATGCATTTTAGTAATGTTTTCCATTACTGATAACTAAAAAAGGGTAGCCTCTCACTAACTTTCTGTTACAGAAGGCAAAAACTAGTAAGTGCCTAGAAATGGACATGTCAGAATTACCATAAAGCACACTTGAAATGGCCTCTTGGCCAGTAGGTAAAAATATTTCCTCAACAGCTCCCAAGACCTCACTGTGCCAAGTTGGGTGGGAAGGTGCGCCCCCTCTCGTGGACAAGGACAAAACTCTGGCCCCCCAGCTAAGTCCAGAGCTCCTGAGTGACACAGGTGAATTCTTTTGAGCCCAGAAAAATAAGCTTCATGACTACATGACTAACTTCATAATTTAGCCACCTCCTCCCTTTCTCTAGGTGAGCAAATGCTACCAGAGACCTTGCCTCTGGGGCTGGGGCTTTGTCCACAGGACCACCGGCCACTCCCCGTGCTCAGTAAGGTGGGGATGCAGACTGATTGTAATATGAACCTAGTCAGCGGGAATCTGCTGCCAAAGTAGTTACAGAGAGTGTGCCAGAGCCACAAAGGGCTTAGATATGACCTACCACATCCATGCTGATGAGCAGCAGGCCCTCTCCCTCCTCCCAGCTCCTGGGCATTAGGAGACATGGGGTGAGGCGCAGGGCTGTGAGCGCTCCCTCCACTACCTGTGAACATACCTTGTCCTCCAGTTGCGAACTTGGTCCCATCAGGGTGAATATCAACTGAAAAAATTGGCTTGCCTGGGAACAAAGAAAAAAACACATAACATCTCTCTTGGCTTTTATTCATTGGAAAATAGCAGCAAGCTCAAAGATTTAAAATATTGGTTATTCATGTAACATCCCTAATCACTGCTCCTAGGGAAAAAAGTAGGCTACCAATAAATCACCTGTGAGTTAAAAGACTCTCCAAGGGACATCGAATAGCTTAAAGTCTGAAAGTGGGACAAAGCGTCCTGTCACTGCAGGACTGAGCCCGCAGACCCCGGCACTTACACTGAGGTCCACCGGACGAAAGCCCACCGCCTGCCAGGTGTGCATGTTTGGAAATACCACGAGCTACTGGGGACAAGAGCCCTGAGTCACAGGGGCTGCACCTCAGCCATCTCCCCATCCCAGGGATTTGTACTTGGCTGCAGCTGGGACACAGGTAGCCTGGCTCTTCTGCCTGGCCATCTGACAGCTGCGCAGGACCAGTGGCTGCAATGCACAGGCACTGCCTCCCCTGTCATGGCCCTGCTCCCAAAAGCACCCCCACCCCATGTGTTCTTGCTGCAATGACGTCCATGGAGAGTCGTCTTCTCAATGTCTCCTCCAGCTAAGCCTCCAGGGATGGCCCCACGGTGTGGTCAATCAGACAGTCAGTCCCTGCAGGGGAAGGGCTGTGGTACAACACGGGCCCAGTCCCCCACCAGGGGCCCATGAAGCTGGATAGCCAGCTGGGCAGACGTGGCTGGCAAAGGCACCACAGCAGACTATGCCTGTGCCTGGTGGGTGTTTGTCCAGCTCCCTGGCCTCCTTCAGCTTCTGGCCTGGGCCTTGGGAAGGTGGCTCAGAAATATCTGCTCAGGGACAAATGAGACACTTGACAACCAACTGGACATCAGTGGTCGTTGATACAAAGGGCTGTTGCCAAGGGGTCTCTTAGTTGAGGATGCTCTCTCTGTCACCCAAGAGGTGGTGGCATGGACACTAGCATGAGGGTCACAAGCTCTGGAATCACGTGGCAGCAAGTGCGGGTTGGGCAGGGCCAGCGGTGGCTGCTTGAGAGCTGAAAGTCCTGCCAGGGCTCCCATGCGAGCACGGAAGATCAAGTGCTGGGACCAAAAGGCCAGCGTGGCCCCAGGCGGCACCCAGCTCACCCCACCTTCTTCTGGAGGGCCCACCCCCACTGTCAAGCTGAGAGTGAGCTTCCACAAGACCAGGGAAGTGCCCTCTCCCTCTATTGGTCATTATGTGGTCCTGGGGGAAGCAGCGGTGCAGGGCTATCAGCAAGCAGAGGCGCCAAATGCAAACGCCCTACTGCGTCTCCAGTAGCAGGGCAGTCACTCCAACAGCAAAGCCTCTACAACAGGCCCCGGTCCCTGAGCCAGAGCTCTACAGTGACAGGTCAAGTTCAGCCTGGCAGCTGCCGACCAGTCTTGAGCACACGCAGTGTATTCAAAGCCATCCCCTGCACACAGGAAACTCAGTCCCGGGCCACTGTGAGCACTTGTTCCCGGGGTACATGGGACGAGCCCCGACACAGCCGCACTCTCTCCAGCACAGAGCAGCCAGCCCGCCAGAGATCTTCCTCTGTAGGCCAGACCCTAACAGTCCCCCCTTAACCTTCAAGAAAAGAGCCCAGAAACCATCCCCCGGGGGGGCCCAGGAAGGCAGGTGCAGAGAGCACGGGGGAGAGGACCTGAAGGGCCCACACTCAGGCAGGCGGGGATGCCTGCGCCCTCCTGGGCCAAGTGGCTGCCACCAGTGACACCAGAGTCCCACATGCGCTGCTGGGAACGTGCCACCCTTTCCCCACAGGCCGAGTGGCTGGAAGGAAGCCGTTGTGAAGGTGGTTTCCTGCCACCTGTGCTGTGAGAAAAAGGAAGGACGAGTGGGGCCATGGGCCCAGCCACCCAGCTCCGAGACCTGGTGGGGCCCTGCTGAACGCCAGGGGACAGGGAGCAGCTGGCACCGCTAAGGCCTCGTGAAACTCAGAAGAGCAGGCGTCTCCAGGGGCAGGGGCCGCTACCCGGCCGTGCCTTCCTCTAGGGCCAGGGCCACATGGGGGCCCATCTGCTGCCTTTCCAGGGCCAGCCCCGCTGCTCCCCGGCCCCCCACTGCTCCCGGGCTTTTCTCAAACCAGCAGGCAGCATGGCCTGGGGCCTTCCCTCACTCATTTCACCACAAGGGGGAAACGGAGGCATGCAGAGAGGTCTGGAAAGTTGCCCAAGGCCACACAGCTGCCTGGTAGAGGCCAGGTATCTGGCCCCAAAGCCCAAGAAGTAAACTAACTGCCTGGGGGGAACCCATCCCCGCAAAGTCCAGAGGGGAGAAATGAGGGCTAGCGAGCCAGGGGGAGGGCGGGAGAGAGTGTAAGCGTGAGTGTGCAGGAACGGGCCTGCTGCTCCAAGCATCGCCCTGGACTCCTTGGCTCTTTGGGCCTGTGTGCACCCTGCTCCCTGAATTTGGGCTGGCCCTAGACCAATCTTTAACTAACAGAATGTGTGGTGGGCTTGTAATGAAGCTTCATTCAACATCTGCCCTCTGGAGAGAGCCTGCTGCTATGTAAGAAGTCCAACCCCGCTGAGACGAGGCCCCAGCTGGCCACACGGAGTGAGAAGTGGGCCTCAAGACCAGGCCCTGGGGCCCCTGGTGAGCTGTTCCAGCCCCCGGGGCCCCTGGTGAGCTGTTCCAGCCCCGGGCTGCTCAAGCTGCCCCAGCAGAGCCCATGAGGAGCTGGGATGAGCTGGCCCCACTGAGCCTTGCCAAGAGCAGCATCACAAACGATAATAAAGCCGTTGTTTTAAGCTAGCAAGTTTGGGGGTGGTTTGTTATACACGAGATAACCCAAGATGCCAGTTCATTCACTGTTCTGCTTAAGCCACCCAAGCTGACCATTTATCATCTTAACTAAGAAAGTTCCAGCTCAGCCAGCATCAGTCTTAAGTGGCCACCAGTGAGGAGCATCCACCGGCCCCCAGGGTGCTGGTTAGCTCCTGAAGTCTGTATTCCCTCCTGGAGCGCGTCAAAGTCACTTGCCTACAAGTCATGGGCCAGCCTGACCCCTCAAGAACACACAGAGCCCAAGGGCTCCACTGCACAGGTACCAATCACAGCCCATCCTAGGAGCTGACACTGGGCTAAGCAGACAGAAAGTAAAGATACAGAAGCCTGGCCCTGCCCAGGGAGCGCCAAAACATAGACAACATGAACCTCACAGCTAAGTCCAGTGACAGAGGTCTGCACGGGTGGGGAGCCACCTAACTCATCCTGGGGTCTTCCTGCAGAAATCACAACTGCCCCAAGTCCCCAAGGTTGAGAAGTCAGTGAAAGAGTGGGTGAGGGGACCCCCAAGCTGAGGGGACGTGGCATGGAATCAAGAATGGGTCTGACCTGCCACTGTGCAGTGCAGGATGGGCAGAGTGGGGAGGGAGCCGGACAGATAGGCAGGGTGCCACCAAGGAGTGCAGACCTTCCCAACTGCCACTCTGGGGCAAGGGCATTAGCTGTTCAGATGGAGAGGGAATTGTTAAGCTGGAGGGCAGTGGGATGGCAGAAATGGGGGGTGGGAACAAGCCTGGGCTTGGGCAGTAAGCGCCCACGGGTTGGATCCTCAGTCCTGCTGCTCACCAGCTCCACAGCCTCGAGTAAGTTACTTAATCTTCCTCTGCAGTTTCCTAATCTACAAAATGGGGAGGCCACAGTCACCCTGACCAGCAACTTGCAAGACGGATTAAGATGCCGAGTCACATGCTTCTGAGGCCTAAGTCTCACGTCTGTTTCTGAGATCAGGGTGCGCCCCGGTGAGGGGCGTGGCTGGCATAACTGTCTCCTCTTGCAGTGATGCGCCCCGGGGACACACAGAAGTGGACCTACAGGAGGCCACCGCATGGTGCTGGCTGTCCACCCGCTAAGGCAGTGGACCTTCCAGCCCCAAGGAGAGCAGTGGCTCACATGTCCTCCTTTTTCTAAAGGGCTCTTGGCGGTGGAGCTCAGGGAAGGGATGCTGTGGCTGGACTAGTTCGAGAGACAAAAGTTAAATTAACACACTCCCTGGACCCTTAGAGCTGCCAGCACCCAGCACTCTCTCCCCCGGCACTCTCTCCCCAGACACCCACCAACCCATTCTCCTCAGCTCTGCTTCCAGGTCGCCCCTCCTTGACACCTTTGGGGACCCCTCCTCAGCGCACACAGAGCACCACGCTTTCACACTCTCCTGTCTGTGTGTGCTCATCTGAGGACTGCAGTACAGATGCTCGTCATCGGGCAGAAAAGAGTGAGTTACAGAAGCTGGGTTTTAGCCAGGGTGCTCAGATAGAGTCCTCCTTCATGGCTTCAGGGAGCTTCCCAGAGGAGCAGAGTGCTGGCGGGGGGGAAGTGGGAGGAAGCACGGAGGGCACAGACAGGCCAGCTGCCTGCTATGCAGCCAGAGGGCCTCTGGCCTTTACACTGACGGCTCACAGGGCAGAACTGACTGGAAGTCCCTTAGTGCATCGTGCTGGCAAGGAGTTTGAGGAGGGCGAGGCCTCCATTCACTGTGTGCTGTGCCCATATGGCCCAATAATACTTGGTTCTAACAAATTTTGGTAAATTTTTAATTAAACGTGAAACATGGGAAAATGTTTGAAACATTTATTAAGTGAAAACGAAGTTACAAAACAATATTAAAATATAAGGTGGGTGCAAAAGACATAATCTTATGTGTAGAAAACCCTAAAGATTCCACAGAATAAACAAATTTAGTAGAGCTGAAGGATACAAAATCAACAAACATCAGCTGCATTTCTATACATTAACAGTGAAAATCCAAAAGAAACAAAACAATTCTATTTAAAATAGAATCAAAAAGAAAAAAATACTTAGAAGTAAACTTAACAAAGGTCAAAGACTTGTACGTGAAAACTAGAAAACAGTGCCGAGACAACCAACAGAAACACAAATAAATGGAAAAAAGGCCCATCTTCATGAATCGAAGACTTAATATTGTTAAGATGTCAGTAACATCCAAAGCTGTACAGATTTAATGCA